TATAGTTTTACAGTGTTACAAAAATGATGCTATATTGATGGCGTAACTGCAGCTGTTTCCTATTTAGGCTACACAAACAGAAACATGATTAAAACACATGAAAGCATGATTTCAGAGTATTTGTACAAGTCGGGATTCGAACCCAAAACATCATTGGAAGCATAGTATCAACGAGCACACGCACAGTCCACTAGGCCATATGAGACAAGATATTTTTCGTCCTTGGCAGTCAAATGAAGATTCGCCAGGTCTCGAAACGCTTTCAAGCTGATCCATGCTTTGAATCGCTTTAGTCACGTGACCAGGTGTTTCGAAACACTTTAGTCACGTGACTTGGGTGTTTCGGATCATGCTTCGGTACAGTTTCGAAACACTTGCGCTTCGGGATCTCGACACTGTGTCGAAACGTCAGTTTCACGTCAGCCATCCCTAGCGATCATAAGCGGGGAATAAGTAAGGGGGGTTATGGCGCTCATAAGTAAAGAGCGGGTGAGGGGTGTTAGACGAAAGATGATTATAAGTGGGATATAAATGAAGGGGGATTGTTGTGGTGATCATATGCGATAACAAGTGAAGAACGGGGTGGGGGTTGTTGAATGGAAGGCGATCATATGCAGGGAATAAGTAAAGGGGGGTAGTTGTGCTGAAAGGAAGGCGATCATAAGTAGGGGATAAGTAAATAGCGGGGGGTGGGTTGTGGCGATTAGTGGATTTTGGCGTGAGAATACTGTCAATTGTGTGAGTGTCATGCCGAATGCCTGAGAGTAGGCAGCCCTGTATTTTATTCTAATATCCAATAATAATCAAATGTTTACATTTACAAATCGTTAGACAGATGCTTGTACCCAAAGCATTTCACAAATATGAACAATAAACTAACCACAGCAAAAACAGAACAAAAAAGTAAACACTAAATACATTGTAGATTACATAGAGAACAACAGCAACATTATTAAAAACAACTATTAAATCCAACATTCATATACGCTTACTCTTGTGTTGTCTACAGGTTGAAGGATTCGGATTTCTGCTTTCCAATCCGTCTCATCATGGACCACCGTTTATCCTTTTCATCATCCTGTTTCTTAGTATTTAACTTTGAATTGATTTTAACTTATAAATAAGTTAAAACTGCTTACTGCAAGAATGTTCTATGTCCTTGTTTCTCTTTTTGCCTGTCTATTTTAACTTTGTTTTCAGGAGACACACAAACCAGGTCATAGGTCATGGAGATAGCTCTCTCTCTCTCTCTCCCCATCTGTTCCTATGACTGGAGGTCCAAAACAAGGGAAGAAGAAGACACCTGTTCTAGTTGTCCTGATATTGCCTATAATATTATAGCTTTCTGGACTTGTGTAAAGAGTATAATTGTTCGATTGTTGAAACTGTAAGCAGGAACTCATTGCGAGTGTTGAAGCTGGCTTCTGCGAATGTAACTGCAAACTATCTTCAGTAAACTTGATTTATTTATTTAAATCTCTGACTCCGGCTCGTCTTCATCTACCAGACTGGTCATTCTTTGGGTTAAACTGTAAAATATCCCTACAAGGTCTTGTACTCACACCGGTTGAATAGGTCATCGTCTTGTCGAGGCTATATCGTCTTGTCATTGCACAAGCATGGCAGCTCTACTTTTCAAGTTGGAGGCAGTAGTCTGTAGTAGGTAGACAGCCGCTGTGACTGGGCAGCCTGCATATTGGACGATACCTCACATCACAAAAGTGGGAGCAGAAGCAGGACACAGAATAGACTTCCGCAAAAACAAGTCTTACCAGTATTTTGGATGATGAAGGCACAAGTGTGCCGATTTTAAGGACTTCATACAGGAACCAAGGTACTCCTACCTTACACAACTACAGAAAGCATCTCCTAAAGCTGCTATGCCCGTTATGCCTTTGAAGACCTTGCACATACTTTCTAAGCACTAGATTCTCTGCAAAGTCTGTGTGATGAAAAAATGGAAGACACATGTAAACGGAACTGTCTGTTTTGCGCCTGCACTGCAAAGCCTTAGCCAGAAAGGCAGATGTTTCCCCCGAGCAGGCACACTGCATTGAAAGACGGACCAGAAAGCAGCACAGATGCCCAATTTGGTGTCACTTTCGCGCTGGAAGGATTTACTGCATCTAATATGCATGACGTCTCTGTGTCTGATTCGAGCAATCCTGCACCATCAACAGCGAGAGCAGTTTGTTACCCCAATACTGCTACAAATCAGTTTACAGCTACAACTTGGGAGAGGAAAAATGAGGAGAATGTTTGAAAACAGTACAAACTATGGACATTGCTGAGTGTGGGTTCATCATAAACCCCAAGATTCCTCAGGTTTGAGCCTCGCCAGATGGGTTAGTGCACTGTACTTGCTGTGGAAGAGGCTGCATCGAGATGAAGTGCCCTTACAAGTACAGGGACATCGATTGTAGAGGAAGCATGCAGCAGCTGGGACAAAGACTTCTGTTTGGAAGTTGTGGGTGGCAAGCTTCAACTAAAAAAAGCAAGTCCATACTACATGTAAGTCCAAACACAGATTTTTGTGTTAGTTTCTATCGGTTTGACCAAATTGGATAGCGCAGAGCAAACTAGTAATACTCTATCAACAGTTGCCAATGTGCCTCCGGGGTCTTCACTTGTGGCTACCTTCCTACAGAGTTCTGATCAAGCACACCTTAACCAATTAATTAGAACCTGAGCAGCACTTGATAATTACAGTCAGGTGTGTTTGATGAGGGTTGCAACTGAAATCTGCCGGAAGGTAGATCTCCTGGAACAGGGTTGTGAATGTAATACAACAGATGCTTGTTTGTGTTCAAATCTTTAACAAATGCTATTTTTTTGTTTGTGGGTTCCCTTGGGAAGCTGCTAAAGCTAAACTCTACACAGCTGCGGCCATTCAGAAACTGAGTTTGACACCTGTGCTCAATGGAGCATTCCAAATGAAATGCGTTACCCTCCGAAAGGCACTTGAAAAAGTCTTGGCCACCATATTGAAGTGTCATTCCAGAACTGATGGACAATTTGGGAAATCGTTCTTTAAGCAGAGAAGCTGTTTGATGTCACACACTGCACTGTACTTGTGTACTTACTCGTCCTTATGCTCTAATCCAACCCTGTTCCTGGAGATCCACCTTCCTACAGAGTTCAGCTCCAACCCTGATCAAGCGCAACTGAACCAATAAATTAGGACCTGAACAGCACTTGATAATTACAGACAGGTGTGTTTGATATCCCTGCTGAAAAATCCAGCTTAAACCAGCTTAGGCTGGTTGGCTGGTTTTAGCTGGTCGACCAGGTAGGGATGGGTTGCAACTCAAATCTGCAGGAAGGTGGCTCTGCAGGAACAGGGTTGAGCACCCCTGCTCTAATCCCTTC